TGCAGGAGGAGAACATATAATCAGAGGCTTTTCATCTAAGCCTTGTCTGACACTGCTGTTGCAAACGCTCAAATTATAGCCGATATGGCAACTGACTTATCAAAGCATTTGTATATGCTGACAAACTTTTATTTACTGTGCAAAGAAACACAACGCTGACTTATTTAACAGGCTGTCTGTCCGCTGTATATTTTCCTCCGTTTCTATATAAAACAAAAAAACTGCTTCAGGGACTCGACATGAACAGCAGTTATGTTGCAAGGTCAGCCTTTTATGTGCAGCGCTTATACCAATATACTGACAGGATACAATGCATTAAACACACCGAAATATTGTTCGGGCCTTCTTGCTCTGAACGTGGGTGTGTAGACAACGGCAGGGAATGTTACATATTTTGTGTTATCTACAGAAAGTTCGGAGTATTCGATATTTTCTTTTAAATTTTGACATTTTTATGTAAATTTTCTGCCGTTGATAATAACAACCTCTTAGTACTCATCCTCTGAAATTGGCCACATTAGAATACTGTGTAGTATAAGTGGTGACCCTCATTGTGTAAAGTGCGTTAAATGGAATATTAGCTCAAAACTGTCTTGTCAGTTAATAGCAAGGTTTCTGTAAGAGCATGATTGGGACTATTGGGACAGGGTGAGTCATGAATATAGGCTGTAAACCCACATAATATTTATGAAATCCTGAACTCTTTCAAGGAATCATTTCTCAGTCCATCATGGGGACATGGGGAAATCTGTGACTGTTTATTTACAAATTACTCTGCAGAAACACTGGTGTTTTGTAATGATGCAGCACTAATAAATTACTATATATTGATCATTCACAGCCTGCCTCACATTTACACAGTTCAGTGAGTTCAACATTGAGCCGTTCACAACTGCTCTCCCTAAAATCTACAAGTTAACAAGAGTGGCCTCCCTTGAGAAACATTCACACTCACTCGTCCCAAAAAGTGCTGCAGACGACATATATTAAACTGTTCATTTAACAAGGCGACCGAGCCTTCAATACTTCCTCTGCTGTGTCAGGCCTGTTTCCACACTGTGAGCCTGATTTAAAGGAATTACAGCACATCCACTACAAGAGCTCACTCCAGAAAGTCTGCCTTCAAATAGTGAGAATGGAGCAGCATATGATTTGATGTGTTTTGGAGGCTTTTGACAACCATTCATGCAATTTGGGCCGAAATGTACAATCAAAACGAATCAAATACTGCAGCGCTGGAACAATGAGTTATTTCACTTTATCATTTCAGCCATTTCTGACTTTAACATGTTCCAGGTTTGCAACTGTGAGGTTCTGCTGCTTTTGTTTGTCTAATGTTCTAATTGTAAATTGAACCTAGGGCTGGACGATATGGCTCAAAATGATGTCAGGATAAAGAATATTATAAAAAATCTATATTGTTAATTATCAGATAAATGTCACATATTTTGAGTGATTTTGAGTGAAGGTTGTGGTTGTTAAAAAAACATTTTAAAAATCAGAGGTAGATCACTTATGCCTTAAACCTGCTCGCTGTACTTTCACAATGCATAAGCAACATATCCATGTATATTGAACCTTTGTTATATTGTTATTGATGAAAAATGTTTATTTCCTAGCTCAAATTTGGACATCAGACTATTAGTCAGACAAATAAAGCCAAGTGAATCTTGGGCTTAAAGAAACTGTGACGAGCATTTTTCTGCATTTTACTACATTTTTACAGACTAAACAATAAATCATTGAATACAGGAAATAACTCATTTCTATTATTTACTGACATTATTTCAATCATTTCTGTATTTCTTTTTACCATTTGTATTTCCTGTTGCTGTCATGTTTGCTATAAATGATCAAATCATCATTATGAAGACATCACAAAGGACATCTAACAATGAAATGAATCCCTTAAACACCGACCAGGATGAATGACAGTGTCAGAGGTAAACAGCGGGACTCAGTCACTATAGATCCAGCTGTTATATCCAGATTAGCGCATGAAAACAAAAGCAGCATCAGCATCATCAACAACAACAACAAAGGGCTCAGTGACACAGTGGAACATCAGCGGCTAACGTTAGCGGGCAGATGTGTGAAGTGATCGGGGCTAGCAAGCCTCTCTCACGGGCTGTTTGGCTAGCTGCGTCCCCCCCTCGCCAAAAAAAGAAAAGAAGCTAAGCATTAAAAAACATGACAGACCGCGGGGAGGAAGCCCGAGACAACTTACCTTGGGCTTGTACAGCCACTTCCGAAAGCGGTTCATCGTTACCTCGCCACCTTCCTTTGTCACCAACCCCTCCTCTCCTCCTCTCCCGTACCTGTGTGTCTCACTCTGTCCGCGCCTGCTAAAGCTAAGCTAACGCTGCCGGAGCCTCCACAGCGGAGAGCGTGTAGAGAATAACACGGTAAGTTGCCCTGAACGCTACAGCGCGTCTCCGGAGGCGCACAAAGGAGGAGACGTCCGGAGACTTGTTCCCATCGTCCCCCGGAATCCCGAGCTCGGCTGCCTGTCTCTCCCCCCACCCGCCCCGGTCACTTCTCCACAGAGTCCCGACGACACAGACGAAGCGGAGCGGCGACGGTGGAACTCCGCTGGTCTCTGCCCTCCTCTCTCTGTCCTCCTCTCTGTGTCCTCCTCTCTGTGCCCTCCTCTCTCTGCTCCTGGAACCGTCACGTTGACAACATTCACCTCCCACTTTCCCATGAAGTGATGCCTTCACGGGCTGCTGTCAAAATACCGACCTCCCACAGCCGTGATGGGAAACACAGACAAAACAGACCATGTAAGCATGACTGGAGATTTTTTAAATTTTTTAATCATTTTAATTTGATTTATCCCCACTCAAGGAACATAAGATCAAGATTAAGATTACTGTATTATCATGTTGCATGCAATCCACACAGTAAATGACACACAATTGAAATTTGTTTACTAATAAAGATTGTTATAGTTTATTATCGTTCCTACAAACACAACATTGTCAGACACAACGTTTCTAGATCCTCTCTTAAAGGTCCAGTGTGTAAGATTTAGGTGAAGGGATGTATTGGCAGAAAATGAATATAAAATAATCCTAGTGATGTTGCTTTCTTTAACCTAGAACGGGCCCTTTATATTTAAATACTTTATATTTACACCAGGAGCAGGTCCTCTCGTTTTTTACCTGGACAAACTAAACACCTTTTGAGTTTTTATGACAACTGAAGATGCCACAGATTTTCTTTCATGTCTGGAAGGGGAGGGTGAGGTGAGGGGGTATTCAGCTGCAACATGCAACTTCGCCACTAGATGTCACAAAATGTTACACACTGAACCTTTAAAGGTAAATTCACAGAAAAAATAAAATTCCCTCATTATCTACTCATCACTATTCAGATGGCGTGGGTGGGTGAATTGTTTTCACAAAACACTTTCGGCATTTCAGCTGTAAACAGCATTGCAGCCAAATCCAATACAATTGAAGTAACTGGGGATGAATTCTTCAAACTTAAAAAAACAACATAAAAAACATAAAATGCCTCCTTATTGCTCCTCTGGTGTCACCCAAGTGTCAAAATCGACTCAAAACGGGGTCATTTACACCAGGTTTTTAGCCTAAATGTCGATATCCTTCTGTGGAACCGTGTTCACAAATATCACTTATTTGTTTATACAAAATATTCAGCCCATTTGAAACATCCACCTAAAACATGTTGACAACAGAATACTAAACTAATAACTTTGTTTACATGCTCACAAAATAATCAGATTATGTTAATCAGATTAATGCAGCAACTCAGATGATGCATTGTGAGACTACTGTAAAACCTTGGTTTAATCTCTGATTTTCCCTTAGTAAAGCCTCACGTAGAGTTACTCACTTTTCCCTCTTTTCCTTGCCATTAAATATATTTTTTACCACAATCATTCACTGGCCCGTTGTTTTAATCTGGTTATAATTATTGTCATGTGTTTAATCTTTTCCTGTTCTATTTATCACGTTGATTTAATAGTCGTGCCAAATCTAGCATTTCCAACAGCACGTGAAGGCAGCACAGACGTCACAATATACTACGTCATAATCATTGTTGTGGGAGCCAACAAAGGATCAGATGTGACAATGTTAATATTCAATTGATGGATTAAAACCATCGATGTTTTTAATCCAGTGAACAAGAGCGATCAATAATAACAACAGTGTGTCATTAGTAGAGTACTCGTTGATGTTTGTGATCTTGTTGCTGTGGTCTCTTTAGAGTGCGGGGAGGTCTGACCAGAGTGGCCTTTATTCTGAAGACTGTTTTATTGTTTTTCACCATAATGTCAAAATGTAACACTTGTAAGAACATAATATAAATAAAAAATACACAGACATATATATATAGACACACATACAGACATATACACACATACTTACACACACGTACATACATCTTTATATACAGTCTATGATATATACATACATACACCTATAAACACGCATATTTACACATACATACATGTCCAGAGAAAGGAAAGACCAAACGAGAAAAAGCAGAAAAGAATATGATAAAAAATATAAATAATAATAATAACAATAATAATACAATTAATAAATAGATTTTTTTAAAGCAAAAAAAACAAAAAAACATCATCATTTCCCTGCTCTCGACATCCCGTAGTGCATAGGACATATATGGACTCAAAAATGTATAAAGGTCTTGTTAGGTCTGTTTACACCAGTGTGTTGCTAAGCAACGGCAAAACATGGCAACGGTTCGAGCTGAAAACAAACTGCTCTTCTTCTTGGGAGAACTCTTCATGAATTTATAACAATTTATAACATCACAGTTTTCTATAGGTTAGAACTTTATTTTTGTGGCATTTTCTGTCACTGCAGATCACCTCACCAGTCATCTCCATCCGTTTTCTGCAGGTAGTTGTAAAATGGCATCAAACTATGGATCTCTTGTCAAGGAGGCTATTGTGTTGCTGGATAAATTCAGAGCTGGCAAACAGAGTTTGGATGACTTCATAGAAGATGCTGCAAAAGATCGGCAGGTAGGTCACGTCAGATCTGTGTCAGTTTTATCTTTTCATGTAACACCAATTAAAATGTGATTTTTTTTCACCTTTCTACGGCAGGTTTTCTTTTATATGAGTTATTTATTTATAGATAAGTATTTGTAATAATATTGGGAGGGGGGTTGTTCTTGTTTGATAACCGCCTGAGTGTATTCTGTAGATAAAAATGTAATAAAAACAAATACATAAACAAACGAAAATATTTTAAAAACGATGTACTTCATATGTGACACATTTTACAATGATCAGCTGTTCAAGTATACATTTACATTGAAACAACCATTACGTGTTTTGAAAATAAAAAAAGAGGTAAGTGTTGAAAAACCATGAAGGTCAAATGGGGGATAAAGAAGAAGTGTTTGGTAAATTGAACACTTTCTTTATTTGATGCCATACCTTTAACAAGTGTTTGACTATAAAAACCAATCCCTTTAAATGACCTAAGAGGTTTTTTGGAGTAGGAAGGGAACTACTACTGCTCTATAGACAGCCATGATGGGGTTGTGTCTTTAAGCTCTTAAGGATATGCATCCTGTCAGTAAATAAGGGCTAAGGTCACCATTTCACAGCATTAATATGGCCAATCATTCACAGGGAAAGTGTTTGCCAGTATTCATTATCACTCCTAAGTTTATCATAATTCTATAGTCCAGTTTATAAAGAAGGTCTCATTGCTTAGGAACAGGTGCTCCAGGTCCCCAGGTACTTTACATGGTCAGCAATTTCAAACAGAAGATTGCAGAGAAACTCAGGCTCTAGATCCTGACTCAGAGGCATAAATTCACTCTTCTACCAACTTATAGTACACCCCGATAGCTTCCCAAACTTTTTAATAAGGTCTAGCAGTGGTGGGACAGATTCCTCACACTGTGACAGAAATAAAACTATGTCATCAGCTACTGCAAATTTTCTTAGAAATCCATTTTCCAAGAACCTAATTATTCCTATATGAAAACATTTTTTTTGCAGAACATGGATGCTCAGCATAAGAAGTTCATACTTGATGTTGTCTCTGGATGCACTGAGTACAAAAAGTTACTGGACGCAGTTGTCAACG